TTGTACTTTGGTTATCACAAAACACTGTTACAACCTTCTGTTGTATGCCAAGCTCTTCAATCATTCCCTTTAGCCACATAGCCTCCTTAATTGCTTCTGTCATATCAATGTATTTTGCCTCTGTTGTTGAAAGAGCCACAAAATATTGGAGATTGGACTTCCAGCTGACTGCAGTACCAAAGACTGTGAAAATGAATCCGGTCAGTGATTTCCTAGTGTCAATGCTCCCTGCATAATCGGAGTCCACATAGCCAACCACCTTCTCCCTTTCATTTTCTTACTTCTGAAACAAAAACCCCAACTCAGTAGTACCCCTTAAATATCTCAGGGTCCACTTCAAAGCTTCCCAGTGAGCTTTTCCAAGATTTGTCATGAACATGCATATGATACTGACAGCATAAGCTAAGTCTGGTCTGCTGCAAACCATTCCATACATAATGCTGCCAACCCCACTAGTATAAGGAACACTATTCATGTATCTTTTCTCATCTTCACTCTCAGGTGTTTGAGAGTTTGACAATCTAAAGTGTTGACCAATTGGTGTTATAACCTACTTGGCCTCATGCATATTGAACCTTATTAATACTTTCTGTATATATGACTTCTGAGACAATAAAAAGCTGTTCTTTTTTTTATCTCTTGTGATCTTCATCCCTAATATCTTCGTGACATGCCCCAAATCATTCATATCAAATTCTGAGTTGAGCATTCCTTTAATCTTCTGAACTTCCTCCTTGCTCATGCTTGCTACTAGCATATCATCCACATATAGGAGAAGATAAGTGTTTATTTCATCATCTTGTTTCTTCATATATACACATCTATCGTAATTGCTTTTAGCAAAACCAATCCTTAACATACACTCATCAAATCTTTTATACCATTGTCTTGGGCTTTGTTTAAGTCCATACAATGATTTCCTTAGAAAACAGACTTTGTCTTTGGTTTCAAGAGTGCAATACCCATCTGGCTGGTCCATATAGATGGTTTCTTCCAACTCTCCATGTAAGAAGGCAGTTTTGACATCTAACTGTTCCAGTTCCAAGTCATATTGAGCCACTAGTGCTAAAATCAGCATCTAATTGAAATCGATCCCTTCAACCTGTGTAAATCCCTTTGCAACAAGTCTAGCTTTATACATAGCCTTTTCAACACTTGTTATGCCCTCTTTCTTCTTGAATATCCACTTACAACCTACTACTCGTTGGTTCTTTGGTTTATCCACAAGCTCCCAAGTTTTGTTTTTCATCAGAGATGTTATTTCCTCATCCATTGCATCAGCCCACTTGTGCCTCTCCTTACTCTTCAGAGCTTCCTTGTAGTTGTTTGGTTCAGCCTCTTCCATTTCTTCAGCAACACTCAATGCATAGGAGATCAAGTCTACATGGCCATATCTCTCTGGTGGTCTGATGGTTCTTCTTTGTCTATCTCTCACCAAATTGTAGTAATCCAATCTGGTTTATGGTTCAGTTTCTTGATGGTTTTCTACCTCTCCATCTTGATCATTCACTCCAATCCCTTGATCAGCTAATGTTTGTTATTGTTGCAGTTCCACCTCAATTGGAGTACCCTCCTTTGTAACACTGTTCTTAGTAACATAATTTTGTAGATTTGCCATTTTAGACTCATCAAACACCACGTCTCTACTAATGATACATTTCTGTTGGCCAGACTCCATACACCACAGTTTACAACCCTTGGTTCTGAGTGGATAGCCAATAAAAATACACCTCAAAGCTCTTGCCTCCAGTTTATCTTGTCTGATGTGAGCATATGCCAAACATCCAAAAACTTTGAGATTGTTGTAGTTGGTTGGTTTCCCATACCACATTTCCAAAGGAGTCTTCATTCCAATAGCTGTTGAAGGGCACCTGTTAATAAAATAACAGGCTGTTGACACAACTTCACCCCAAAAACTTTTGGGTAGACCAGCATTCAACAGCATGCACCTCATTCTCTCTAGGAGAGTTCTATTCATCCTCTCAGCTAATCCATTCTGCTAAGGGGTATTTCGAACTGTCTTGTGCCTTGTAATACCATTTTTCCTGCACAACTCATTAAACTGCTCTGAAAAATATTCCAGGCCATTGTCAGTTCTCAAATGCTTCAATTTTGTTTCCATTTTATTTTCAGTGAGAGTTAACTAGTCCTTGAACCGTTCAAAGGCTTCATCTTTTGTTTTTAGAATGAAAACCCACACTCTTCTACTGTAATCATCTATGATAGACAAAAAATACCTCCCACCTCCATGTGTTTGTGTTCTAGCAGGACCCCATAGATCACTGTATACATAATCTAATGTTTTCTTTGTTGTGTGAATTCCAGTAGAGAATTTTACTCTAGTTGCCTTCCCCAACACACATTGTTCACAAAACCCCAATTTACTAATTTGGTCATCACCCAACAGGTTGTGTTTAGACAATTCTTGTAGGCCCCTTTCACTTACATACCCCAACCTCATGTGCCAGAATCTAGTTTTGTCAATTTCAGATTGAACTACATTAGAGGAGTTACCATTCACAGTTCTCACGATTAGTGAATATACACCATTTTTCTAACTCCTTTCATTGCAATTAAATAGCCTTTAGTAACTCTAATACAACCATTTTCATCATTAAAAGAATATCCACTTGATTCCAGCATTCCTAAAGAAATCAAATTCCTTTTGAGTTCTGGTATGTACCTAACATGTTGCAGTATTCGTTCAGCTCCATCAAACATCCTTATCCTGATTGTCCCACTACCAACCACCCTGCATGGTTTATTATCTCCAAGCAACCACTGACCAGTTGGAGTGTCTCAAACCAATCTTTATGAGGACACATATGGTAGGAGCAACCTGAGTCAAGAATCCATTCTTTGCTTGATTCTGACTCAATAATTACCAAAGCTTCAGCCAAATCATAGCCATCAGAGACTACACTTACTTCTCCAGAATCTTTTGGCTTTTCTTGATACTTTCTTTCTGTCATGACAATTCTTCTTGAAGTGGCCTTCCTTGTGTCAATGATAACACTTGAACGGTCCCTTTGATGATTGATTTCCACTTTTCTTTTATTGTCTTGATTTTGATTTGTTCTTATTATTCCTCGAATCTCTTCTGTCTGATATTCCTCTAACAGTAAGACTATCTCCATTGTTCTCCTCCTTCATATCATTTTTCTTTTGAAGTTCTTTAGCTTTAATAAGCGATTGAACCTCTTCCATCGAAATTGTTTTCACCCTTCCATAGAGCATTGCATATTTGAAACGCTCATAACTCTTGGGAATAGAGTTTAGCAACAACAAAGTCTTATCCTCGTCCTTCATCTTGACATCAATGTTTTCAAGATCGTCTATGATCTTATTAAACTCATCAGTCTGCTCTGAGATTGATTTCTCTTCATGCATCTTGAATGAGTACAGGCCTTGCTTCAAGAAGAGTCTGTTGGCCAGGGATTTCGTCATATAGAGTAATTCAAGTTTAGCCCAGAGTGCATGAGCAGTTGTCTCCCTTGACACTTCCCTCAATTACCTAGGCTCAGAATTATCGCGCTGAGAGCTTTATCCAAGATATTGTTCCTTTCTTTCTCGGGCATCTCAGCAGGCAAAGCCGTTGGTCCTTGCAGTGCTTCCACAATGCCCTGTTGTACTAATAAGGCTCTCATCTTTACTCGCCATAGGCCAAAGTCATTCTTTCCGATTAATTTTTCGATGTCGAACTTGGCATATCCCATAATCGTGGTCTGAGTTCCCACAGATGATGCCAATTGTAGTGAAATCTACCAATAACCATAGAACAACACACACAACCAGATTTTAAACATCGATCAAGATCAAGAATCAAAGCAGTAATCAAGAACACCAAATATTTACGTGGTTCAGTCAATGTGACCTACATCCACTGGAGAGAATCAAAATTCACTAAGGCAATCAAAACAAAGGTTTACATGATTACAAACCAGAGATAAGAATTCTCTCTGAATCTCTCAATACAATATGTTTTTCTTCTCTTGAACCTGTCAACTCACTTACATCTTTATTTATAACTAAAGACCCTTTCAAGTTGATCGGTTTAGCAACTAACTGTCAAAGTCAATGACAATTATAACCGAGTTAGTTTTTGGCTCCAAACTGTCGCAACCGCCTTCTGATTTATGGCATTGCCTTAGTCCAATAAATTGTGAGTCATTACAACATGCTTAATGCACAAGAGCAACATCATCCAATAAAAAAGCATTCGCCTACTATACTTGTTTCTAATAAGATACAATCATAGATACGTGATACAATCTTTTAAAAATGTCTAAAATATTAGTATCTGAAAATGAGAAAATATTAGTAATAAATTTGGTTGTGGTCCTGGAATTTCAATGTACTCCCCTGGTAAATGACTTCGTTTTCCCTTGCTTTCTAGGGAACTAAATAGTTCATCATTAATTGAAACATTAACACTTGCATGTGTCTGACACACAAAAACAACACATTGGCAACTTGCAAGTGAATAAAGAAGAGAAAAAGAACTACCCAAACCCAAAGAGTTGAAAAATGAAGTACCCATTTTACTTGGCGACGTAGACATACCGAGTGTAAGCCAGGAACGTGGAAAATTGAACACAATAAGTAACAGCACGAGTCCCGATCAACACACCGTTTTGGCTTTCAGAAAGTTCGCGTCGTATCATTAACATAAGACTCAATGTATAATTATTGTAACATGATTGAACACGTCGGGGATGTAGCTCAGATGGTAGAGCACTCGCTTAGCATGCGAGAGATACGGGGATTAATACCTCGCATCTCCACAAGAGAACCTTTTTCATTCCATCATTTTTTATGTTTTCGCCTGTTTACTTCTTGGAGCCTTTTTCTCTTGCAGTTATGGTTGCCATCAATGAGCATAAAAGAAGATATATGCTAAGGAATATCTCAAATATGATTAAAAAAAATTGATATAACACGAATACAATATAAACACAATGCACCAACCAATTGCCTGGTTTCAGTCATTCAGTTGATGACTTCCTCTCACTGCAAATCTTGTCTCTTCTCCATATGAACACTTCTTTTTAACTGCAAAACATTAGCAGCTGCATGCTCAATATGGCTTTACTTCTGATGAAATCCCTCATCGAAAAAACATCCACCAACTTTGATTTTTCTTTCACATTATTTATCAATAATACAAAGGAATCTGTATGCATATTCCCACCATTTCTTAGTAAATACTATGTTTTTTGGCAACAGAATCAACTTAGATTGTATATTCTAGTGCTTGACAGCCATTGAAACTCCAATTCTTGGAATACTATTATGGTCCCTTAAATCCAGCTCCCCGGAAACCGAGACATACAGCTTTTGCCAAATTTCCTGCCGAAGAACGCCACTGACTTTGCCATCAGTATTCATACGGGCCTTCACCAATGTAAATGGTAACAGTGCGTGCTGCGCTCCGAGTGTAAGCGTGGTCGCCTCCTCCGACATCCTATGCTTCAACTCGGCTGCGACTCCGGTCCTCGTCGGGGGGTTCAGGGGATGGTAAATCGATGCTTTTAAGCTGTCAAAATCATCACTCCTGCATTGTCCACAGATGCTACGGTTTTAAATACACATATATTGTAACAGAAACAATTCTGTTCTTTTCTCTAGATTTATACTAAATACTCACAGGGTCAAGGAAGCAACAAGTAAGGCACAATCCAAGCTAAAACCAGCACTGAATTGGTCGAGTTTCCTTTTCGTTAGATCAATGCCCACGTCGGCTCCGAGTGAGAAAAAAGAACTTCCTATTACACCGGAGATGTTTGCAATCGGATCGAATCCGTTTCGTTTGTTTGCCTTCATCCCTAATCCAGCACTAAATCCCACACACTCACGCAAGTATTGCAGTTCTGCCTGTTAGGTGCAATCACCATTGCTGTGAGAATTAAGCACCCTGCATACTTATTATAGGACTTTATCTGATATTTATTGTGCATTAAATTGTTAAAGATTAAGGAGACAAGTAAAGTCTGAACATATTAAGTACCTACCTTGCTCGAATCCGGAATGATAACGCTAAAAACCGTGTTCAATCCCGGTAAAACCTCTTCAACTGTGAATGGCCAAACGGAGATCAGATTACCAGAACGCATACTTGACAGATCGAAGAGATTAAGAGTGAGAAAAATTACGTTGACATGAGAAATTAAAACTCCAATCATAACTTTGGTATCGACCATGTAGTGGCTGATGTTGTTGAGCTCGACCATAATCCTTGTAAAGAACATCTAGCAGAAGATTCAAAATGGTAAACATGAATGAAGAAGATGAAAATTTCTAAATCTGCATTAAACAAATGTTATAATCATACCTCTAGCTTTTCTGCCTATGGCAAAGTATAAACCAGGATTCATGATAAAATCTGGTGTTTCAAGCTTTTAAACACCGGATTTGAACTTGTATATTAAGATGGTTTAATATTAAAATACACATATTTTAATGTTCCAAGGAAATTATATTGAGAATAATGAGAAGAATGTGCCAAAAGGGAAGCTTCTAAAGTAATGACAAACAAAAAGATAACCCTGTATATGACGAAATTTCCAGGTACCGATAATACGAGTCCATGGAAAATGGCAGGTTAAATCATCTCTCTCTCTATCTGGGATTTGCCTTTACTTTTGTTCTAAATTCACTGGCAGCTTATTTTGGACATACTATTTGATTTACTTTTCAATGCCAAAACCCAGGTAGGAAAACAGGTTCTTCTACTTTTCAAGTTGATTACACTCGTTAGACATTTAGCAATTTCTCATGTTTTCAAGATACAGTAACATATTTTTTTAATTATATTACTTGGATTTGAGGTGGATACTGTTACTAAATACTGTTGTAAAAAATATTGTTATAATGATGAAAAATAAAATAATTTTTTAGGAGGCGGTAGAAATCATTGTCCTATAAGTAATTTCGTTCAGATTGGTATAATCGGTTATATAGACATTCTCTACAAGATTCAGATAATCTTTTAAATCTCTTACTTCCAGAAAAGAAGGGAACCATAAATTATATTTTCTAATTAAAGAGAGAGACTATCAGAATAGTATACTGGTAAAATTATCAAATGACAATTACTCATTTTAATCATTTGGTAATCCTCTCCTTACGGATAGTCAACTATTTGCATTTCTAATACATAAGTGTATAATTTATTGAGTATCTTCAATGGTAGAAATAAATGTTGATATTTCTAGAGGATCTATGTTTGAGCAGTTGCATGTGCAGTATATACGCGCACGTTATCAAAAGTTTAAAGAATCTTTCAACATATATTTTTTAATAATCACCTTATACTATTAAAAAAATGAGGTGAATAATCTCAAAATGTAAGTTATTTTCAAATTATCGATTTTAATATATACATGAGGAGTTTATATATAAATATATATGAAGTTATTGCAAGTTGCATTAACAACAACATTCTAGGATGATAAATCTATGAACAGATATGCAAACCAGATTGCATGTTTGATCCAAACCACCGAGACACAAGAACCCCCAAAGAAAATGCCAAAACAAACGTTACGGCCATATTGTTGTTAAGCAATTTGATAGCCCTCTCCAATGTTCCCTCCTCGTTTCTCATCCCATCATGTGCATCGATAACATGATTATCACTTATCTTGCTTTGTTCTTCATTCACAGGAGGATGGCAATCTCCTTCATATTCTCTTTGATTTTCTCCTATATTGATTACTTCTTCTGCTGAATGCTTTTCTGCAGTGGTACTGGAGTCGTGGTCTTTTTCATCTCTTACTATTCTCTTGGGAAAAGTGAGGCACAGCGTTTCGTCCTCGAAAGATTGATCCATCTTATTCATGTCTAGATTGTCTGGTAATTTCAAAGCTTGCCCGAAATATATGGATTTCTCATCATTTGCTGTTCTTTCTCCACTGATTGTCACATAGCCTGGGTAAGCAACCCCAACCATCACGTCCTCCTTTTCGAAACCTATATCAAGAAACATACGACGTCGGAAGGAAGAAGGAAGAAGAAGAAGAAAAGGAAACATAGAGATAAAAGATGTTGGATTGTACCAGGAAGATGAACTAATAGATAATGTCCCACGGAGTCTTCAATCCAATTGAAATGGGGAACCAACTCTTGAGTTGTTCTTGTTCCATGAACATCACCCATTATTGAAATTATGAACAAAAGTTCCAAATGAAGCATGATTAATATATATAACAAACATTACAAGGTATAAGAAATTATTGGCCTGGGACTGAAAATATGCTACTGTACGTGTGTACATGTCATCCAACTTTTCTTGTGAACGTCAAAGTATTAAATCTTTATTCCAAACTTGGTCCATTGTTGTCTTGGTTTCCTATAGAGTTTATTCTTTTACTGTGCTTCAAGATTTTTTAATGGGGTACTTGGTTATTTGCCGAGGGGACAAGAAAAAGTTTCTAAGGAAAGAACTCAAATGGTCCCTTGGTTAGTGGATAATATTTTATTAAGTCTCTCTACTATTAAAAGTTACAAAATAATCCTTCTACTATAGAGTGTTGTTTGTTGAGTCTATCAACTATTAAAAGTTACAAAATGATCGATCAACTATTTATCATGTTTCAAACTCATTCTTTTCCGTTAAAAAAATTGATGGTATTTTGAGTTGAAGATTAATTTGTTGACTATGATATGATAAAATAGCGTACCCAATTCATCTTCTTCAAAAGCTCGTAACAGACTCAAAGACTTGACTACTCTACTCATTCCCTCCCTCGTAAATTCTCTAAGTAAAGACAAATTCATCTCCTATGTAATCTTTGGTACAACCTCATCTAGAATTCGTTGATTTACCGATGACGAACCTAAAGTAAATAACTCCTTAAAATAACCGCGCGTTACTTCCTCCATGCCCAAGTCCTCTTCGATAATAATTCCTTCTTTCGTCTATAATCGCTGAATTTGATTCCTTCTCCTTCTCTGGGAGGCATAACGGTTAAAAAAATAGTATTTCGGTTACCATTCTTTAAACAATTTACTTTTGCTCTTTTGCTTCCAATATGGTTCCTCCTTGTCTGCTTCAAGATTAAGTTGAAGTTTGGTATCCTAAATCTCCCCCAAAATATCATCAGTAGGATCCATATCAACAAGAGTATCCAGCTTCTGCAGATCTCTCTCCATCAGTTTCTTCAGTGTACAAATCCTCTTAAACCACATGTGCAAGCCATGGCAGACTTGATCCAGTCTCTCTGGCACTGTTCCAGTCGCTTCGTCCCAAAGTCTTCGAACCTCTCATTCACAAGAATTTTCTAAAAGCCACGCAACCTCAAATTTGAAGTGCCACCTTCTGTTAACTCCCTGTCCATTATCCATCTCAAGCAGCAATGGAAAATGATCTGAGAAGGAATGTTACAAATGAGAGACACAATAATGAGGGAACTCACTATTCCAAACAGAATTTACAACACCTCTGTCTAACCTTTCTCGGATAATGGTGTCAGCCTTTCACCCTCGCTCCCAGGTATACCAAGGGCCTTTGAACCCTGCATCTGTCAAACCATAGTCAGCCAAAGCAGAATAAAAATCATCCATTTGTCGTTCATTACGCAAAAGACCGCCCTCATGAGAATAAAGAATTTCGTTAAAATCTCTTCAACCAGCCACAGGAGATTCGGGGTATCATTTAATTGACAAAGCAAACTCCACGATTCTCTTCTTCTGGATTCTTCCAGCACTCCATAAAAGCCTGTACAACGTCAAGGACTGTCTTTCGAAAGATCATTCACTATTACATCAATATGGAAACACGAAAAAGAACATAATGTCACCATACAAGAATCACGCCAAGCCAAACACAATCCTCCACTAGAACCAGATTATCTACCACTATACTATACGGGTAACCATACATCGATTGAACTTTCTCCATTCTAGTTCTTTGTAGTTTTGTTTTGATTAAAAAAAACGACAGCGGTGTTAATCTCTCTCAGCAAATGCCCGAGACGGCGAACTGCCCGAGGTTGCCACAAACTCCGAACATTACAACTTAAAAGTTTCATTGTGACCGTCAAGCCTGATGCTTCAGTCCTGCCAATAAAACTAGAGTCGAGTTACTCGAAGCATTGTCCTTAAGTTGACTTGGAACTACCGAACCTCCCCCTGCCTTTTGGCTTCATCCTGTTTAACAATACAGACATCTTCTTCAGTTATTGTCATAGTCACATCGAACGAATTCATTAAACTCTCGGTGCGCTCACTGGCCCTCCCCATCAAAGCACCCTTAAAACGATTCCCCCAGCCCAACTGTCACCCCCCCTTTTTCTCGAATACCTTCCACCCCACCATCTTCTCTCAACCAGGGACTAGGACCGTAGGTTCTACCTCTCGGTGAGGCCCTCAAAATAGCATCCCACTGTATTGTAAAATCCATTTTTGGTTTTAGCGTGCGCATAAGATAGAATCCTTCTCCATGACCAAGGTTTTCACTAAGGAAGCAAAACATCTTTAACTTCTCATATTGAAAAGTAGCATATGAAAAACCTCCCCCAGCAATGCCAACTTTTTCTTCCGCTTGAGTGGTTTTCGTACATCTAACGTAACCCGTATGCGTACATCTAACGTAACCCATATGCGTAGACTGTCCTTGTATCCCAAAGAAATCGTAACAGCATCGAACTCTACATAGCTTCCAAGGAAATTCCCCAATTGCTTTGCTACCTGGTCTAAAACAAAACCAATCGGAAAATCATTCCCTAAAATCCACGAAATTAAGGGCAACAGACTGCAGATCCTCCTGTTAGGCAATTCGGTGAAGGATCAAAAGATGGGAGTTAAAATAGCAAGGTCCTCCAATTTGTATTCGTTCTACATCCACCTCATGATAATATATAAAAAGATAATGATCCCTTCTAATTCAATTATCGAAATACCTTCAATTGGGTGCGACAAATTTGTCAAGATAGTTTTCATCGCTTCAAAATTATTACTCCCAGAAGTAAGAAACGTCCCCACAAAGCAGTTTTCATAAGAGACCAAAGCGGGTTTTGCTCGCCCGGGGGCCCCACCCCAAAATGAATCCCCGTCCCGACGGATTTTTTATCGGGGTGCCTCGTCGAAGATTTTTTTTGTCCCGTCCTTGAACCGAATCAGAACCCGAACCCGAAAATATTTTATATATAATTAATATAAAATATATAAAATATTATATATATATATATATATATATATATATATATATAATCGGGGCGGGGATACCTTGCCACGAACCTGTACCCGACCCGAAAAAATCCCCGAAAAAAATCTCCGATACCTGACCCGACCCAATACATTCAACCCGACCCGAACTTGATCAGATTTTGGGTTTCCCCATCGGATTCGGGTCATACTGCCATCCCTACCCATTACACTCGAACGCAACAAATTGAAAAGAAAGGAAGAAAAAAACACTAAGCATAAGACGGCTAAAACCCTAATACCGGGAAGATGTAGATGTCATATAAGTGACGTAGAAACTATTATTGGTATAATTGAAATTCATGAATATGAATGCTTTAAACAGCCATACAAATTTATTTTTTCCTGAAAAATTCATATACATTTATGATAAATATAAATGAGACTTCCCTTTTAAAACATTTTTCAACGAGCGCCGGAAGCGGCCAATTCATTCATCGGATTCGGACCTCTAATGAAGTAAGAATAATTTTATTCCAGCTTTTCACATTTTTTAAATAATTATTTTCTATTATATTAGTATTTGATATGTACATAATGTTATGATATATTTGAAAAGGAAGTGTGCGAGTGTAATTATAAGTGTAATGAATTCTTATAAATAATCGTGTTTATAAATTGTGTATTAGTAAATGGTTAAAAAGATTATAAATTATAGGGTAAAGTATAGTAATGGTCATTGAACTTTTCTAAATCTTTCATTTAGGTCCCCAAACTTTTAAAACTTACAATATAGTCCCTCAACATTTAGTCCGTTTGTAATATGGTCCTCCAACAGTTACGTCGGGGACCATATTGCAAATGGACTAAATGTTGAGGGATCATATTGCAAACAGACTAAATGTTGGGGGAATGTATTGCAAGTTTTAAAAGTTTGAGGACCTAAATGAAAGCTTTAGAAAAATTCAGTGATCATTACTATACTTTACCCTTATTTTAAAATGAATTTCTCTCGAGCGAGAGGAGGAAGGATTTTTCAAAGATCGAGGGTAAATCAACATTTTTGTATATGAAATTTGATTTAAAGTTTAATTCGGTATCTATATTTTTTTTGTACAATTAGATATTTAAATTTGGTTTAAATATTTAATTTAATTTTTTTATCCAATTAAATAATTGAACTTGGTTTTTTATTCAACTTGGTATAATCATGACTCATCGGTTCAGATTTATAAAAAATCATAAGTACCCAAATTAATTTAAAAGTCATATTCATATATAACTAAAAATTCTATATTAAATTAAATCTTAAAATCACATTTAAATACATACTTGAACCAAAAATTTAGATATCAAATTAAACTTTAATACTAAATTAACATATTAAAATATATCCTAAAATTAATCTTAGAATAATTTTAATAGAAATTTTAAAATCAAATCGTTTATTGGTTTAATTCAATATAGATGAGTTTAAACGTGTTTAATCCACGTATAAATCAAGCAACTTCAATAGTTAAATATGTTATTGTTATTTTTAGAAATGTTTGAGCGTTCATTATATAATGATTAAAAACTTTTTAAACATATATTACCTTATAAGCATCTAAGATTAATAAAAAAAAATGTGTTCAAACACACAAAAGATAAATAACTATGAGGCTTGACTTCCCAAGAAAGAAACATCTTTAATCTTTTAACAAATTTTGCCAGAAATAAAAGAAAACGACATCTCATGCAGACATACCAAACCCAGCCGATTGGTCCACGAGTCGAACTTAAAAGGACTTAGCAACTTCAGCTACTTTTCCTATTTAATAATCCAATAAATAAAATAAAATCAATTTAGTCACTAAAAATTTGGATTGTGAATTGATTTTAGCAGTAAATTTTAGGGTAAAGTATAGTAATGGTCACTGAATTTTTCTAAAGCTTTTATTTAGGTCCCTAACTTTTAAAACTTGTAATATAATCCCCCAACATTTAGTCTGTTTGCAATATGGTCCCTCAACATTTAGTCCGTTTGCAATATGG